TTTTTTTTTTTGTACTAATGTTACTCATAAAACCTAATTTCCATATATCATGGAATGTAATGGTAATAGTTGTAACACAAAGAACTAGCAAAATTTAAATTATACCTTTAAATTAGAATATCATACACACAGCCTAAGTGTATTTACATGTACATAGTTTCATGTGGTTAAACTGAAAATCTGGTAAGGTTAACTTTTTTTCAAACAAATAAAATTGAAATATTACATTTACCTTACATTTTTCCAATAAACCCTCTTCTTTCTCCTCCCACTGAGCCTTGCCCACTATAGCATCTCTTCAGCTTTTTAAGGGAACAATGGCAAATACCACAGCCTGTTTCTACCCAAAGGCAAATGTTTGGGGAGGAGTGGTGTCTCCCCTCTTTGGGTGTCACCTGGTGTGCTCTGGACCCCTTGTATCCATCTACTGACATCCCTGCTTCTTACTTTTGCTTGTCTTTTGTCTTTAAATGCTTAAAGAGTTTTGACTGTCATTCACTGAGACTTCTCTTTCTTTTTGGCTGCAGATAGTGTCTTTTTGCATTCCTCCCCTACAGTGTCCCAGTCTTGATTTCTATATGGGTCATCAGGTGATGTCCACGTGTATCATTGTCTCTTTGGTTGCCTGAAGAATTTGTTTGAAATGAACAAACTGTTGGTCTTGCAAAATTCAATCATTCTTGTACTTGATTTCTTGATCTTATTCCAAATTTTCCTATAATCTTTGGTTCTCTTCTCTTTTCTCCTTTCCCTTTCCAATTGCCTATGATTATCAGCAAGTTCTATTCTATTGTATGGTAAATGTCCTCCTCGACTCCCACATAGAATCTTTCAAGATCTTCTTCTTCTGCCTTTGTAGTTGGAGCATAATTTGGATTCTGGTTATATTGATGGATTTTCCCTGCAGTCATATTGATATGATTTGGTCAGACTTTGCTTTATGCCCTCTTGAACAGCTGTTACAGTCAAGAAAATCTTTCTAAGTGGGAGTGTATTTATATATTTGTAGGAAGTGGGTTTATATCCACAAAAGCTGAGGTGAAAATAAAAACCAATTAGACTTAAAGGTTCTGTCACATTTCTTTTTCTTTTTCACCCCACCCCTTCTCTCCTCCTTAAAATTTAATCAGAATCTCTTTTCTTGTTATTAGGATCCATTGATTCAAGGCCTACTCTCTGGAAAAGAAGAAAACAGGCTTGCTTAATCTTACTTATGACCACCATTCACATGTTTAAAGTTGGCTGTCATCTCACCAAGCAATTTTCTGTTCTCCAGGCTAAATGTATACATCACCCTAAACCATTTCTCATAAGCTTTACCTTTCAGACCTTTTGCCATCTTGGTCATCCACCTCTGGACACATTTCAGTTGTGAGAATCTAGAGTCTGTGAGAGTCTTAAACTTTCTTAAATATAAGACTATACAGGCCATTTTCTTAAGCAAAAAAGCAATAAACATTCTGACTGTTCTGTTGTCCTGTCCTTTCCCATTTTCCATCCATCATCAGCACTCAAATGTGACAGTCAATGGGAGAAGCAGCTCTTGGTGAGATTCATAAGCTTATCGCACTGTGTTCTCAGAACGTAATGAGTACGTTGTGAGAATGGAACGGAACGTATTTTATCGCATGGTATGATCCTCATCAAGTTCCTGTTCTGTACTCTGACAGTCCCTAGCCTGTTCCAGGAGGAGAACTGTAAAAATGCATCCTCAGCCAGCAAAAACACTTTCAGACCATTCAATATGATGTGTATGCGATGATCCTATCCAATCTCAATCTCTCCTCATGTTCTGATTGGCTAAGACAACCTCCTCCCCTCCTGTCCTAGAACATCCACAAACTCAACTCAACTCAACTCTTCCTGTGTTGATGCATACGCTTTAAACATGCTGAATTGTGGTTCTAGATGAAAAGAAACCAGGGGAAAGGTATGGCTTGTAGTTCAGGCTTCTGTGTGTGACTGCAGTGTTTAAATCATCCCATGATTTAATGAAGAGAAAGGTTTTTTTTCTCAGCACAATTAAGCACACACACACACAATTATCTCTGCTTACATAAAACTGGGGATCTGAACTGTTTTGAGATGACTACTTCTAGCTATTTTTGTCTTATAAGGAAGCAAAATAGCTTTCCCTTTCTCTCCTTCAGAAAGTAGTTGCTTCTGGCATTGCCTTTAATTAGAATTTTTTCTTTTGTTACTCTGGGAGAGTTGGCATAGCTTAACAGAAAAAAAGCATTTAGTGGCAGTCATGGCACATTTATTGAGCACTGAACAATGCTCAGTGTTTCTAGTAAGGTGATCTGATGAGAATGAGGGATATAAATGGCTGGTTATAATTGACTGATATGTTTTCCACTGCATGTGAACAGCTAGATGAAAGGCAAACTAGGAATAAAGGCAAGCTAGATGAAAAGATTTTAAAAGACTGAAATCATATGAAGCAAAAGTATTGAAGTCTTGTCCATGTTGCTCGTGAGTTTATTTTCATAGTTATGGAGAGACAGTCACAAGATTCTGAAATTCATATTTTAGTATCATCTTTTAGGCTCAAATTGCAATGTAGCATTATTCTTTAAGGCATGTAGACTGTGGCCACTATTGTGAACCTAAATGCCATGATAGCATAAGAACTTAGCTGATTTTGGAAGCTAAGCAGAGTCAATGAGTCTTGGATGAAACCAATTATCTCGATCCATTTCAAACCGGCTTCAGGACAGGATGTGGAGTTGAGACTGCCATGGTCACTCTGACCGATGACCTCCACTTGGGCATCGACAGGGATAGTGTGACCCTGCTGGTGCTCTTGGATCTCTCAGTGGCTTTTGACACTATAGATCAGGGGTAGGCAACCTTTTTGAGCCGGGGGCCAGTCCCGCGAAGTCCTCTCAGCCGCTGGGCCGAGGGGGGGGGGGAATGGCAACGGTGACGGTCTGCCTGGGCCGGTAAGTCCAGGGACCCATGGGCCGTAGGTTGCTGGTCCCTGTTATAGATCATGCCATCCTCTAGGAT